CTGTATGATTCAGCTGTGAGTAAGATGATTGATAAACAGAGGCAATTGTGATTGTAAAAATTGGAATTAGAGAAGCTATAACTGTAAGAGAGTGGACTAAGGGGGGAGCAAGTGCTGGGCTAGACCAGTACAGTGGCTGAACCTAAAGTCCCTTAAACGTTTTGCTATGTTAGTACCCCAAGAGAGGCTCAGAGCAAGGGAATAATATTCTCTCAGTTAAATTTTATCAGATGCCAGAAAGGGTGAAGCTGGTATGACCTTTTAGAGAACCTAACCAGGTCAGATGAACACCTGCAGCAGACCTGAGTGGCTGGTACCTGAGTGACCTCACTCTGAAAGTTTTTCTCCACCAAAGGACGAATTGTTAATGACTGATTTAGACTGGTAAATGTCTGAGGAGGGGGAAGTAACCTTCCACATGTTAAATATGTGAAAGAACCCATGGCCAAAAGGCCAGAGGGTGGCCTGTGGTGAAATTCCTTCATCTGGCCTTTTGCCTTGGTTCTTTGGAGAAAACAGTTTGGGAGATTTTTTCCCCCTAAGCCCTGAGAAGTTGTTACCTTTGCCCTAGTTCTTTGGAGAAACTACTTGAGGGACCGCCCAGGTTGCTTTCTATTCCTGAGGATTGTTACTATGCCCTGAGGGGAAGGCAACAGAAAATGTTACTTTTGTACAAGACCTGAGTTAATTGACATCTCATGGGTTTGTGACTCTCCCAAAATGATTGGCTGGGCCAGTGGCGGGGAGGCAGAAGGCAGAGAGACCTGCACAGCAGTGAGGGGGTGTGCACAGCAGAGAAGGGCCTGCCAGCATGGCAGAGAGGAGCTGAGAGAGCTGCTCTGGTTGGAAGCTGTCCTGATTGACAAAATTGATCATGTCCTGAGTTGTATCCTGTTACCAGTAAGTTGATCCTAGTCTGAGCTGTATCCCAATAAACCCCACTTAACTGTAAGTACAGTTCATGAGTTCTGTGGCCACTACAATGAATTATTGAACCCAGCAAATAAATACAGAACGCTGTCGGGGGGAGGGGGACGGGATGGCTGGTGTCAGAAATGATCAAGTAGTTGGAGAGTGGAGGTATGTCTGACTTCCACCTCACAGGAACCAGCTGTGTGCTGATTCTGATTCTTATCCTTTGGGAATTTAGATAATTCCTGATGCTAGATTACAGCTCCATTTATAGATGCTTGGTTTGGGGAAGAACAATCTTGGACCACACCAAAAGACCACAGTGCTGACCTCAGCTTCCAGGGACCTGGCTCCACTGACCCTATGTCCTGATTAGTGGGCACAAAGAGGGGATGAGGCCTGCATTGTTGCTACACCCCTATTTTATAGACAGGTAAACCAAAGGTTTTGTACCTGGTCTTTTGCCTCTTCTCTGCACTGGGGTGACCTTCTCCAAGAAGTCCTCCTCTCTGACCTTGCAGTGTTGGGTACCTCCAATGTTCAGTAAGAACTGAGGCTCCTTGAAGCCAAGTCAAGGAGGTGCAGTGAGTAAATGGTGGGGACAGGACTCCCCCTCAGCCCAGTGTAGGAGCTGAGTGTGGTGTCAGGCTTTGGAACAAGTAGACCAAGTTCAAATCCTGGCCTAGCCATTTGCTGGCTGTTTGACCTCCTGGAGTCTCAGCAGCCTCCTCATTAGGGATATTGAGAGTTAAGGCCTATGTGGCCCTCCTCAGCATGCCTGGCACACAGGGAATGCTCACATGTGGCTGGTTACTGCCATCAGCTCTTCAGCTTGGGATACCTCTCAGGGCCAGGACCCCGGCTCACCATGGAGGGAGCTCCCAGGAAGTCAGAAAGCAGCTCAGCTGAAGAGTCTGAGTAAACAAGTGAGGAAGAGAGGAGTGGCCTCTGGTTAGAAAGTGGGACACTGGAAGGGTGGTTTTGCAGGAAGAAAAATTTCAGAGGGTGATAAGGTCCAGGATGTGCATGCGGGAGTGTAGGGTGAGTCAAAGGAGTGAGAGACCCAGGCACACTAGTGTACATAAAAAGCAATGCATCAGCTCACATGATATAGTCCAGGTCTACACTGGCTTCAGGCATGGCTGGGTCCAGGCACTACCCTGATGGCAGGCTCCTGTCCCTCTACATCTTGGCTCCTTTCTCAGGTAGGCTGTCCCCATATGTTGATAAAGAAGGCCATTGGCAATTCTGGCCCCATGTCCCTACAGTTTGGTGATCTCAGTGGAAAGACAGCACATCTTTCGCAATAATTATAGGAAAAGTCCTAGGATTGACTCTAGTTGAAACAACTAGGGTCTCAAACCCATTTTTGATTCAATCATTGTGACCAAGTGAACAAATGACTGAACACCCATTGGCCACGTCTTGCGTCATGAAACCATCCCCGGTGTTGGAGGTGCATCAGACCAAATCCTGAAAGCGGTGTGGGAGTTTGAAAGCAGGGCCACTGGATGCTCCTGAAGGATGCAGGCCCCAGGGTAGAGAAGACAGTGCCCAGGGCTCACGTCTTCAAGGAATGGAGAGGGGGTGACAGCACAGAGGCAGTGTGGGGAGGGGTTGGGAGGGGGTGGACAGCAGCACCAAAGAGGAGGCAGCTGGTAGTGCCAGGCGGTATGAGCATCAAAGAGCTGACTTGGGTGAAAAATGTGGAAACGGAATGAGGAGGAACAAGGATGATCTGCATGATGCTTCAGAGACCTGAAGGACACTTTAGGGCCCTGGAGTTCATGAGATGTCTTCAGGGGACAGGCAGTCAGCAGGGTTAGGGGCTTTGGTTAGGAAGGGCAGTTCAGGGAGGGCTCAGAGAGGGGGCTGATGCGCATGGGTCATGGAGCATCTGGTGAGCAGTCAGGCCAGAAAGAGCAGTGTCCACAGAGGGCAGATGCTTAGAGGCCTTGGTACCATGGGTCCCTGGCAGCAGCCTTCCCAACCCTCTGAATCCCGGAAACACCTGGGGAGCTGATCAGAAAACAGATTCCCAGGTCTACTCCCAGAGATTTGGATTTGGACAACTGGTTGGAGCCCAGGTTGCATCTGGGCTTGGAGTAAGCCCTCCAGGTGTCTCTACCTTAAGAAATGAATGGTGGGCCACTGGAACCTGAAGCATCCCACTTAGCTAGCCAGTAGCCCCCCTCACCAGAATCCTGGGTAGGCCAAGGCCTCCCATGGCTGCTAGCTGCTGGTGGCCTATCTGCTGGCCCTGCAGCAGTCTGGACAGGGCTGGGCACAGTGGCCCTGCAGCAGGCACACTGCCCTCCAACAACTGCAAATAGGTGAGGCTATTATTGGTCAGCAGGAGGTACAAGGGTGGCTGGCAGGGAGGGTGGAGCTGTCAGCCCCTGCCCACAAGTATGCAGTCTCCAACCAGGGCCTGCCTGCCTCCTGGGTACCCACCGGTGCCCAGACCCAAAACACCCATAGCGAAGTCTAGCATCATATTTCCAGCTTTGCCCTCATGACAGCACTCCCTGTCTGTATCACTCTGCCCACATCAGTCACCAGAGCCACAAACAGAATCCTGTGGGACACAGGGCCTCATACTCAGGTCGGTCCCATCACATTCTGAACTTCTGCTTACAGAGTAATGGAGTGCTGATGGGTGTGTCTGGTAACTTCTGTCTCCTCAGTGGCCCAGAAGCTTGGGAAGGGTAGGCACTAACGCTGCTTTTGCCCACCGCTGTGTTCTGAGCGCCTAGGACAGGACAGTGCAGAGAAAGACTCAAGTTGGCACCTGGCCCTGCAGTTCCCTGAGGTGGGGAACAGTGGGGAGGGGCCCTCAGCAGGGTATGAAGGGACCTGAAAAGTGCAACAGCCAGTGTGGGCAAAAGGAGCTTCCAGGCAAAGGGGCTGGAATAGCCCTGCAGGGTGTTAAGCATTGGAGGGGTCTGGCCCTGGCCCAGGTGGGGCCCACCCTGTGTCAGGGGAGGGCAGTAGCTGGCAGGGAAGGGAAACCTGGCTGAGGTCATGGGGTGCCAGCTGGTCAGCGGCAATGCTCCAGCTATGCTCCTCTCCCCCAACCTGCTCTCACTGAGAGGCCCCATAGTTTCCTAGGTCTCCCTACCCCCTCCCCTCCCTCAACTGCTTTCAGAGTGAAGTGTGACACAGAGGCAAAAACAGCTACCCTGCATCTCTCACCTAAATCCAGCCCTGTCTCACCCAGGCTGGAACATGTCATTCGCTGTTTTGGAACTTTCCCTGGCTTTCCACTGCTCCTAGGGTGTTCCCTCTTTTGCAAGGTTTTCCCTTCATAGGGACATCTGTCAGAATAGACCTCAGCCTCTTACCCCGCTAGATTAACAACCATCCCACCATCCCATATACCAGACACCAGAGTGTCTCTGGGACAAGGGTCAGTCTCAGTTTTCCCAGTAACTTTCTGAACAAGCATCGTTTGCACTGATAATCCTTACTCTAGATTAACACGCTCAGAGAGAATAAATTCGTAGCCTAGATGAGCCAGATTCTGGGACCTCGCCTCCCTGACCACACCTCAGGGTTCCTGTGGTAACAGGAACACGAAGGCTATCTGGATTCAGAATAACAAGCCTGAGGCGACCTGGTAAGGGCTGCTCCATGGGATGCAAGGTAGACTCCCCTGGCAGGGGCTTCACCAGTAAGCCGCAAAAACCCACAGCCCCCTCCCCACCAGAAGGCCTGTAGACCATTCCCTCCAGGGGGGCAGGGACAGCCTGTCTCCCCGCCCCCATTTCCCACCCCCTCTCTGAGAGCGGGCGGGTCAAATCTCACCCATCTGTCCACCTCCAACCACTCCAAGAGGTCTCCCAAGTCCACCCTCCTGCATCAACCCAGCCCCCCCCTTTCCCGTAGCTTTCACCCCTTGCTTCTCCTAGCTCCAACGAACCCGGGTGCCGAGGTTTCCGCTCTGCATCTCCGAGGATCCCTGGACCCACCATCCAACCCAAACCACGCATCCACCGAGGCCATCCCTGTTCCATTAAGAAGAAAATGAGATCAGTTCAAAGGTTTAAACAATTTATTGTGCCCCCCCCCAAAAAAAGACTGACGGGGTGAAGGGAAGCGCTGCGCAGCCACGCGCCCCGAGCGATTGTTTGTCGCACACCCAAAGGTAGGGGGGTGAGGGCTGGGGAGGGGCGGCGCGGCGGCCACGTACCGCGCGCCTGGGCCTTGGCCAACCTGCGGTTGCGCCGGGGCCGGCAGCCGAAGCCTCGGCCATTGGCGCCTAGTGGCCGGTAACCATGGCGACGGCCGTTGCCAAGGGCGAGAGCCAATAGGGGCGTCGCCGGGGCTGTTTCAAAAATCCAAAGCAAACAACAACAAAAAAACTACATTGTCGGAGAGGGGGAAGGAGGGAGAAGGGGCGGAGGGGGACCCAGAGTAAATCGTACAAAACCTACAGACACTTGGGGTAGGGAAAAAAAAAACAACCAGAAAACCAAAAATGGCCTAGTAGGCCCAAGCAGGCGCCTCCCATCAGGCCAGTGCGCTCACTTGCGGCCCTTGGGTACTTTGGGGACGCTAGGCTTGGCCGCCTTCTTCACCTTCTTGCCCCCAGCGGCCACCGCCTTCTTGGCCTTGCTGCCTTTGTCCTTCTTGGAGGCGGTGGCGGCACCGCCGCCCGGGTCCTTCTTGTGCGAACGTTTCTCGGGCTTGTTGCTTTTCACGGGTTTCTTGTCCGGGCGTCGGGGGCCAGCTGCGGCGGGGGCCGCCTTCTTGGCTTTGTGCGAGGCGGCCGCGGGGGCGGGGGCGGGCGCCGAGCCACCGCGCCGCTCCCCACCGCCTTCCAGTTTTTTGCGGTTGAGCTTGAAGGAGCCGTTGGCGCCGGTGCCCTTTACCTGCAAGAGCGTGTCGTTCTGCACCAGCGCCTTGATGGAGTACTTGAGGTAGGTGCGCCCGTTCTGCTGGTCGAACCACGCTACCTTCTTGGCTTCGGCGTAGATCTTGGCTAGCGACGAGCCGTTGCGCTCACCCAGCCTGCGGATGGTCTCCACCACCAGCTGGCTGTACTTGCCCGGCTGGTTCTTCTTCTTGCTGTTCTTCCTTTTCTTGGCCGGAGACAGCGCCGCCGAGCCGCTAGCCTTAGCAGCCTTCTTGGTCGTCCCCTCGGCGGGCGTCAGTGGCAGGGCCTCTTCGAGCTCCACGGACATGGTGGCGAGCGGGTTGGTGGCGGGCGGCGCACGGAAGCCGGGGGGCCGCG